GCTATTATTATAGGAAGTGGGGGGGGGGCAGGATGGGGGCACAGGGCGACCTGTGTCGCTATTGTAGGAAGTGAGGGGTAGGGGTAGTGGTGGGGGGTACAGAGCGAGCAGTGTCGCTATTGTAGGAAGTGGGGGGTAGTGGGTAGTGGTGGGGGGTACAGAGCGAGCAGTGTCGCTATTGTGTCTGCAGAGGAGGGCCCAGGGGGAGAGAAACGGGGGGGCTGTCCCGGTGTCAGGTGGCGCCGAGACAGAAGTGCGGAGTCATTTCAGCGCGAGTCAGAGGCGCACGACTTCACACGCGTGTGTGCGTGAGTTTGTGTGTGTGCGAGTCTGTGTGTGTGTGCGTGAGTCTGTGTGTGTGTGCGTGAGTCTCTGGGGAGTAGTAGTGGAGCGGTTAGCGCGCTGCGCTCCGAACCCTGGAACCAGAAATCGATTTCCGCTCACGGTCAACACCAGTGACAATTATCTGAACCAGTCCTGGGCCTCTCCTAGGACGACTCGGCCTCAAATAAGTACCTGGTGCCGTATGTAAACATCGCCACTGGGGAGACAAAGGCGGCCAGGGATGATGCTGTCCAGCCCACCCCCTTGTATGCCGTGCCGGCCTTCACAGATGCTCGCTCGCAGCACTTGCCCCAAGTCAGTTACGTGCGTCTGCGTATCGACACACGCGTGCCTCCATATCAGTATTCACGCGTGGTAATGCGACAAACGCCCTTCATGAATATTTCATGGCGTCCGATTAATCCGAGATGAAGTTGGAGATGATGTCTCCATGACGATCGTCAAAGATAAATTATCATCATCAACAGCGTTTCGGCTGCTTGCTGAAGACCCACGTGAACCTGACCTCAGTTCTGCGGGCTAATTCATGCCACCTGGGCGTCGTGAACGACATCTGCTGGGAGCCTCGAGCTCCGCGTGGCTCCACGTGGAGAAAGCAGGGGGAGCTTTCTCTTGCAGATGTCACCTCCATCTCTGAGCGGCGTCTCTGGGTGTTCGCTCCTCATTATCGTAAAGAGAGGGGAGGGGGACGACTCAGGGGTGCCAAGGGAGGAGGAACCACATTCGAGGAGTGGGGAAGGCAGCAGAAGCAGCAGCAGTCACGCGGAGAAGCCGGCACAGCAAGCTCTGCGATGCTCAATATATTAAGGTCAATTCATGAGTATGTACAGTGAGGGAAAAAAGTATTTGATCCCCTCCTGATATTGTACGTTTGCCGACTGACAAAGAAATGATCAGTCTATAATTTTAATAGTAGGTTTATTTGAATAGTGAGAGACAGAATAACAAAAAAATCCAGAAAAACGCATGTCAAAAATGTTATAAATTGATTTGCATTTTAATGAGGGAAATAAGTATTTGACCCCCTCTCAATCAGAAAGATTTCTGGCTCCCAGGTGTCTTTTATACAGGTAACGAGCTGAGATTAGGACCACACTCTTAAAGGGAGTGCTCCTAATCTCAGCGTGTTACCTGTATAAAAGACACCTGTCCACAGAAGCAATCTATCAATCAGATTCCAAACTCTCCATCATGGCCAAGACCAAAGAGCTCTCCAAGGATGTCAGGGACAAGATTGTAGACCTACACAAGGCTGGAATGGGCTACAAGACCATTGCCAAGCAGCTTGGTGAGAAGGTGACAACAGTTGGTGCAATTATTCGCAAATGGAAAAAACACAAAATAACTGTCAATCTCCCTCGGCCTGGGGCTCCATGCAAGATCTCAACTCGTGATCATGAGAACGGTGAGGAATCAGCACAGAACTACACGGGAGGATCTTGTCAATGATCTCAAGGCAGCTGGGACCAAAGTCACCAAGAAAACAATTGGTAACACACTACGCCGTGAAGGACTGGAATTCTGCAGCGCCCGCAAGGTCCCCCTGCTCAAAAAAGCACATACACATGCCCGTCTTAAGTTTGCCAATGAACATCTGAATAATTCAGAGGACAACTGGGTGAAAGTGTTGTGGTCAGATGAGACCAAAATGGAGCTCTTTGGCATCAACTCAACTCGCCGTGTTTGGAGGAAGAGGAATGCTGCCTATGACCCCAAGAACACCATCCCCACCGTCAAACATGGAGGTGGAAACATTATGCTTTGGGGGTGTTTTTCTGCTAAGGGGACAGGACAACTTCACCGCATCAAAGGGACGATGGACGGGCCCATGTACCGTCAAATCTTGGGTGAGAACCTCCTTCCCTCAGCCAGGGCATTGAAAATGGGTCGTGGATGGGTATTCCAGCATGACAATGACCTAAAACACACGGCCAAGGCAACAAAGGAGTGGCTCAAGAAGAAGCACATTAAGGTCCTGGAGTGGCCGAGCCAGTCTCCAGACCTTAATGCCATAGAAAATCTGTGGAGGGAGCTGAAGGTTCGAGTTGCCAAACGTCAGCCTAGAAACCTTAATGACTTGGAGAAGATCTGCAGAGGAGTGGGACAAAATCCCTTCTGAGATGTGTGCAAACCTGGTGGCCAACTACAAGAAACGTCTGACCTCTGTGATTGCCAACAAGGGGTTTGCCACCAAGTACTAAGTCATGTTTTGCAGAGGGGTCAAGTACTTATTTCCCTCATTAAAATGCAAATCAATTTATAATATTTTTGACATGCGTTTTTCTGGATTTTTTTGTTGTTACTCTGTCTCTCACTGTTCAAATAAACCTACCATTAAAATTATAGACTGACCATTTCTTTGTGAGTGGGCAAACGTAGAAAATCAGCAGGGGATCAAATACTTTTTTCCCTCACTGTATGTTGACATTCTTTTGCACCGTACATAGCCAACAGTGATAATCGGAGGTGCAGGGGAAGGACAACAAACTCAACACAAAAATCAGTTTTAAGGAAATTAGTTTTCAATCTAGATTTAAAAGTGCATAGCTCCAGTGCCTTGATAATATCTAAAGGGAGAGCGTTCCAGACGACCGCAGAATTGCATCTGAAAGCGCGCGACACAGTGACCATCTTTGTTCGATGGCGGAGCCAAACGCCGCCACTGCTGCGATGGGGGGAATCCGGAGCACCCGGAGAAAGTCCACGCGTGCGACGTAAAACACTTTATCCCAGACGGGAGTTCACATTTTTGTCTATCGACTTCTCACAACGAGCCGAGTGTGAATACTCATCGCATGTGGTGGTGATCCACCAACCCTTGCTGCTGCCTCCACAGCGCCGGCTTACCAGGTAGCAGTCACGTGCAGCGAAGCCACCGCCCAGCGTCGTGGATAATGTAAGCCACAAATTAATCATGAACTTCCTTCACACATGCCATCAGCCACGTAACCTTCTGGTCGTGCGTAATTTTACAGCATTGGTCCAACGCAAGCAAAACAGTAGGCTTTCGCAGCCAATATTACTCATAAGACCAAAAAAGGACGACTGCATAACTATGGCTATCGCCCGATTAAGCTGGTTGTAATCACCAGCGAAAATCGTAATCGAATTGTAAATGTTGTGAGTTTACTCTCCAACACAACGGTGTGCTGAAGTAGTAACTAATTGGCACGTTTTGTTTACGTGACAACCCTTTCTAATTGGCTGTCGGCCGATTGTGGGTTTAACGACATTTATATTTACGTCATCTAACCCAAAAATACCTTAATTATCTGCAAGCAAAAATTGGACCGGTTTCGACATTTAGTGTCTCATCAGCAGAGCCACTCACTTGATCGTGCTGGGTTAATTTCCAGATGTCTTCAGGCAGCAAGGACGCCTCTTGTCCCACAAAGTCATCGGTCTCGGGGTTAGTGCGATGACTAAAGCCACAGCTCCCCCTGGCGGACAGGCCCCTCGTGTACCGTGTGGGGTGACGAGCTGTTACGGGTTTACCCCCGGAGGGGTGCGAGGTCCCTTGGGAGGGGTGTAGGGCCCTTTGGGAGGGGTGTGGGGGGTCCCTTTGGAGTGGTGTGGTGTCCCTTGGGAGGGCTGTGGGGTTTTGTTGTTGTGTTTAGTTTGTTGTCCTTCCCCCGCACCTCCGATGACCATGGTTGGCTACATACGTTGCGAAAGAAGTTCACACGTAAAAAAAGACACGATATGCTTGGACTACTAGACACGGTCAATGCTTTATTGTTATTTTATGAAGACACCTATCATTTAAGATATTTAAAACAACAAAAACTTTCCAGGGACGTCTTTAGGCAATCATTATTCACAGTGATCTCTAACTGTAAAAATATAATATCCTTGTTTTTTTTTTCTCAATTTCATTAAGAGTGTGCGACTGTGTCATGAGACACAATGTTCCCAACCGCCACGAGGCTCCCAGTAAGCGGCGCATCACCTTGTGTCAGACAAAAAGCCGGGTGATGCAGGTGGTGGTGGCGGATATGCTGCATGTGGTCCGTTATCCAGCACTTTGGGAGGCAGCGATGGTTGGTGGATCACTGTATAAATGCCGTTGTGAAACTCCCCTCGTGTGGGCATCGAGGAAGAGCCGTACCCTGCCTCAGTGGTGCAGCAAAGCTGTGGACTCCGTCTGGTGCTTCTGTATTGGGTTGCCCCCTCGCACGCGCGTAGGGGTCTCCCTGGGTGCTCCACTTTCCTCCCACATGCAAACACTCATTAATTGATGGATAACACATTGACACACAAGGGATGGCAGAGCTTGGGGAATGGTTTGCGCCATTGCCCTTTCTCACACGCACTGGCAGAGCCAGTGGGGGGGGGGGGCGGGGGGGTGGAGTGGCACGTGCCCCCCCCAATGATCATTGGGGTTTATTAGTAATAAATCGGCATTTTGCGACCCCCACTGCCACTGTGTAGCATATTATAACGTGCCAGGGACTCTAAGAGATGATAGGACAATATTCTGAGTCCATAATTGGCAATAAGCAACGGCAAAAAAGTTATAAGTGACTCAGAATTGTGCGCAGTTGCGTATACAGTGAACGACTTCCCTGAAGGCATTCACCTTCAGCGAGCACGATGCCGATCACACACAGTTCGAATTCGACCCTCGATCGATGGCTGCGCCATCGCCACACATGCATTGAATAAAAAGCAAGGGACAAGTCCTTACTAACAACTACTATCATTTTTCATTCCTGGAGGGGTTGCCCCCCCTACCTGAAAATCCTGGCTCCGCCATTGCCCACACAAGTGCTTTGCTGCAGAGAAACGTTAATCGCCGGGGGAAATCGATCCGATTATTATTATTACTCGCCAAAGGTAAAATTCCTCTCAAGTGGAAAACAGATGGCGTGATGCCTGCGCAGTCATTTACACTGGATCTGGCCTGGAGACGTGATACAGATGTTGGTGTTGCCAATCCCGTGAAGTGCAAAGTCGCTGAACCAACCACGAACAAAGGAAGTCACTGGACTGACTTCAGGTCATCACAAATGCTGCTCGACAATTCACCAAGTTTTGGACAAAAACTAAACCGTTGCAGGAACCCTCACTTCACGTGCACGTGGAACAGCTCCCGTCAAGTCCTCGGTCCCAAAAGGTCACTTGTTCTGTCACATCAACAATGAAAACATCTTTAAGTCGCTAAAATCTAATGATGAAACAACACTTGTGACTATCGGAGAATAAACTTCACCAAATCCACCTTGTCGTCAGACCCATCTTTGCCATCACGACACGAGCTCTTCCTGGGCAGCGTGAGGTCGTGAGGCAGGGTTTCGCTATTCCTCGTCCTGCTCCTCGTCGTCGTGGCTGAAGGCAGCTGTGATCGCCGGGACCCCAGCGTCGCGGCTCGCTCATCCCCCCAGCCCGTCGAGTGTTGAGCTTTGTTGGGGTCGTTTGCCGCAACCCCAGACAGCGAGGAGAAGTGCGACTCGAGGTCAGCGAAGGTGGGCCGCGCGTCGGAGGCCACCTGCCAACAGGCGAGCATGGCGCCGTACACGGCCTGCGGGCAGCCGGCCACGCGCGGCATCCGGTAACCGCGCTGCACTGCCTCCAGGGACTCGTGGGTGCTCATCCCTGTGGCCGCAAGAAAAGGGAGATGGGGCGGTGTGTGGTGTGGGGTCGGCAGAGTGCATGCTTATGTGGATGGCAGATGCTCACCGGAAGTTTGGGAATGGTAGCCCCCTTCCCATGGCGGCCACACGTATTTTCCTGTCACCTTAAACACAAAACTAAATGAAAACTATTTTTTTTATTTTACCAGGTAATGCCCACTAAGCTGTGTATCTTTTTTTCACAAAAGCGACCTGGCTATCACAACTGATAGCTCAACCAAGTGGCTTATCGTCATGTGGAAAGTTATTGCAGCCCAAATACTCTGAACACCAATACAACTGGGATATGGTGAGCAAAATTCCAGTTTCTGAAAGTGCTTGGAGAGTTAATTCCTAAAAATAATTGACAAACATGCCTCATTAAACAAATTCAGAATAAAAGGTGATAATTCACCATGGTTTGACCAGAACATCTCTGAATTAATGCAAACTAGAGATGCAGACTAGAATAATGCAAATAACATCAAATAACCTCCCTGATTACAACAAAAAAAAACAATACAAAAATACGAGTGCAAAGTATAGGAAAGGAAAACAAATCACTTAAATATATACGAATAGAGCTTTAGGTAATGACCAAAAGGATAAGATCACGGGTACAAGGGGCTGAAATGAGGTTTCTCTGCAGGGTTTCCAGGCTCACTCTCTGTAATCGGGTGAGGAGCTCGGTAATCCGGGAGAGCCTCAGAGTCGAGTCGCTGCTCCTCCGAATCAAGAGGAGCCAGACTCCCCTTGGAACTATACCAGGCAAGTCCCACTGGGCGAAGATCCCCTGGGCTGGCCCAGGACACGCTGGCGGGAATATGGCGCTCAGCTGGTCTGCGAACGCCTGGGAATTCCCCAGGAAGAGCTACAGTCTGTTGCCAGGGAAAGGGAGGTCTGGACCACCCTACTCAACATGCTGCCGACACGACCCTCACCAGGACAAGTGGACTGGGAAATGAGCGAACGATCAGTAGAGCTAAACGCTGATAAGAAAAAACGCCCCTTAAAATCAATGTCTGTAAACCGATCGGAACGAGGTCTCAAGATCACGTTACTGCCATCAAACATCCTAAACATGGCCTCCTTGCAATCTTCATCAGGCAAGGCCAAGGGGACTCCAGTCTCAAGTCCACCAACACAAGCAATGGCACATCGACAATAACCATCGCAGTCGGTGACGTGATGGTCATCCACTGTATACAGGTGACCTGAATAGGAATGGTCATCACCACCTCTGCAAACAGCCACTTAAGTCAGCTACAGATGTGGGGTGACTTAAATAGCCACCTTCACTCAACGGGGGCTACTCAGAATATAAGGATTGGTCTCAAGTCGTGACATGTTCCTCATATACGACCCGAACAGCTGGGCAAATTTTCACTCAGCCCGATGGAAAAAATACTGTAACCCAGACTTGTGCTTCAGAATCAAATTATGTATTTATACTGGAGGAATCCATGAGCGACAAAGCTCTTTTTCACAGAGGACAAGGACGGACAGCCAGTAATTGCTTCACGAACAACTTTCGACCATCTTACCTATAAACATCATTTTTTTGTCTGTTGGTCTCTCTGTCTGTGTCTGCCTTCCTTGTAATGATTTTAACTGACAAACTATTGGGTTTACATTTCAAAAAAGTACACAAATAAACTAAACACCCGGATGAACACCTGCTATTTGTTTTGCCCTTGGTCCAATCTAAATTAAGAAAATCTAATTTTGTAAAATATACACTGATCATAATGATAACTTTGAACAGTGCGCCGATTCGCGGTTGCCCCTAGCAATGCAAACACGGTTGCTTAGCGACGATGGGAGGTTCTCTCATGTTAAAGACTTGGTCATTTTGGTTAAAAGAAAATATGCCAAAAAGAAAAAAAACACGCCTCTCCAAAACAAATACAAAGAGAGTGGCAGCACTGTGTCCACAAAGCAAACAGTGGAGGAGAAACAGCTGTCTCAACAGCAAACAAACAATGAAAGCACCTCAGGCTGATGGAAACTCCAAAGTAGCCTCAATCAAGACAAGCCAGAGACTGCACAGTTACTGCTAAAGGAGCACACGCTGAGGAAAATCCTGAACAGTGTGTATGAAGACCAGCCAGAATCTGCACAACTACTGCTGCAGCACGGGCTAAGAAAACACTTATTCAGCTCCTGCGGAGGGCTTATCGACGCTTCGCACCTCGCCATCACCCCCACTGATGTCCTCTTCTCCTCCCCCCACCCCATGTGTGCAGTTACTACTATAAAGTCAGTAGATACTACTATAGAGTCAGTAGATTCTACTGGAAACTCAGTAGTTATTAATGGAAACTCAGTAGATACTACTGTAGAGTCAGTAGATGCTACTGTAGAGTCAGTAGATACTACTGATTCTATTGTATGTAGGGTATGTAGGTATATATGCCTACAAAATAAAAATAAAATTGGGTGGGGGGGGGTAAAAACATTTTTGAAGGGGGGGTCGACAATTTTTAGAAACCTGTTGGATCAACTTTTCACCCCCACTTTCTATAACTTTTTGATTCAGGCCTTCTGAAAGGCTCTTCTAGTTTTCACATCGGTTTACTATATGATAGTCGAGTTGTTGCAGCCCCTTTGGCGTCCATGTACTAGGTGCCTCTGTAGATATGTAGGCTTTGACTTTAACATAGCTATTTCTATGACCAGTCACAAGCTAATCCCTCAGTTATTTCAATGCTAAATTCTCCTGTTTGATTTATACTAGGTGCCTCTGTGGATGTGTAGGTTTTGACTTTAACATAGCCATTTCTGTGACCAGTCACAAGCTAATCACTCAGCTATTTCAATGCTAAATTCTCCTGTTTGATTTGTACTAGGTGCCTCTGTGGATGTGTAGGCTTTGACTTTAACATAGCTATTTCTATGACCAGTCACAAGCTTATCCCTCAGTTATTTCAATGCTAAATTCTCCTGTTTGATTTGTACTAGGTGCCTCTGTGGATGTGTAGGCTTTGACTTTAACATAGCTATTTATATGACCAGTCACAAGCTAATCACTCAGTTATTTCAATGCTATATTCTCCTGTTTTATATGTAAACCCCATTGACAAGGTGCCTCACTTCTCTAAACCAGCTTAAAAAGACGCTACGAATCTTAACAACGTTCATTGAAGCTCTGTCGTCCCGACGGGTCTGTTCCTTTCACCTGAAGAAGGCCGCTTGTGTTGTGGCCGAAACGTCGTGAGAATTTTATTGTTTTATGTTATTTTATAAATGTATTATTTTATTCTCATTCTACGTGACTTTACCGAAAGAACCAAAGATGATGAATCCTTGCAGTCACGAAAGCTTTAAATCGAAGTTTAAATCTTCTAGTTTTGTTGACGGACAAATGTACAGACAAACGGAACGCCGTGATTTTATAATAGCTTCGTATTTTCGTATTTGTGCATGTATTTGTTATGTTTGTTAAGAGCAGACAAGTTTTTAAATATATTTTTCTCCAGGCGAAGCCAGGTACTCCCTGCTAGTCTATTATAAAAGCCCGGCGTTCTGTTTATCCATCAACTATATTATTAAAGCCTTTCAAAAGGCATGGATCAAAAAGTTATAGAAAGTGAACCCCCCCCCCCCCCTTAGATATGTGGGAGTAAAAAGTTGATTCTAGATTTGAAGATTTCATGACTGCAGGATTCATACTTTTTGGGTTTTTTGGCTAAAGTCACGTAGGTAAAAAATAAATAAAATAAATGAAAACTAAATTAAATCACGACGTTTCAGGCACAACACCCGCGTCCTTCTTCAGGTGGGGACAACGTAGCGAAAGCACAAACGCTTAAGTGTGTCTCAGAGATGGTTGTGACGAGGGATTATATAGTCGTGGGGCATGGAGGGAGGGGGGGACCATGGTGAGTGTGGGGGCGGGGTGTGGGCTGGAAGGAGAAGTTGCAAAACCAAGGGTGCACTGGGAGGCAACTGGTGGAGCCGAGACTGAGGCTGTGTGTTGTAGATGGCATAAGTAAATAAGCAAGCTAGGATTAAGCCGCTTTTTTGTTATGCTGCCGGGTGGGTAAGTTAGAAATGCGCAGGCTAACAACGTAAGGAGTTCAAACTGAAATGTGCAAGCTAAAAAACAACTTGTGGTACACACTACCATGGCGATGGCGATGGTAGTGTGTAAAACTGGGGGTAACAGACTGGGTATATGGGTATATTTATGAAAATACATCTAAACTGGCTGTCTAGCAGTAAACTGGTATTATGACATTCTATTCTCGATACCAAGGTGCTCTGCAAGCCTCCTGGAAACTACCAAAGATTTGTCCATGAAGCCATCCAGATATACAAACATGCAGTAGATGTAACTTCAACCGAGGTGATGGATTCAAATTGAGCAATCATTGGAAAGATGTGATTAACCAAGTCAAACTTTAGCTACCAGGCAGTTTTCTGCTAGACAGCCAGTTTAGATGTATTCCATGAACATACCCATATTCCCAGTCTGTTACCCCCAGTTTTACACACTACCATCGCCATGGTAGTGTGTACCACAAGTTGTTTTTTAGCGTGCACATTTCAGTTTGAACTCCTTATGTTTTGATTTAAAGCTTTCGTGACTGCAGTAATTCATATTCTTAGCTCTTTCGGTAAAGTCACGTTAAAGGGAAACAATAACATAATGAAATATAAAGTTTTATATTTATTTTATTATTTTATTGCTTCCCTTCAACGTGACTTTACCGAAAGAGCTAAGAATATATATATAATACTCCTTATGTTGTTAGCCTGTGCATTTCTAACTTACCCATCCGGCAGGATAACAAAAAAGCGGCTTAATCCTATCTTGCTTATTTACTTCCGCCATCTACATCACAAAGCCTCAGTCTCAGCTCCACCAGTTGCCTCCCAGTGCACCCTCTGTTTTGCAACTTCTCGTTCCAGCCCACACCTCGCCCCCACACTCACCATGGTCCCCCCCCCCTCCCTCCATGCCCCACGACTATATAATCCCTCGTCACAACCATCTCTGAGACACACTTAAGCGTTTGTGCTTTCGCTACGTTGTCCCCACCTGAAGAAGGACGCTTGTGTTGTACCCGAAACGTCGTGATTTAATTTAGTTTTCATTTATTTTATTTATTTTTTACCTACGTGACTTTACCGAAAAAAACAAAGAGTAGTAAAAAGTTGATTCAACATATTTCCAAAAAAATGTCAATCCCCCTCCCCCCAAAATAAATTCAATCCCCAACCCCCCCCCCCCCAAATGAAATGTTTTTTGTAGGCATATATGCCTACACACCCTACATACAATAGAGTCAGTATAATCTGCACACATGGGGGGGGAGTAATAAGAGGATATCATTGGGGGCGATGGGCGAAGCGCCAAGAAGCCCTTCAGAGAAGTTAGAATAATGCGGCCATAGGCCAGCGAAATTATAGTTTTCCAAAAAGCCAACACAAACTGGCAATCATACACTGCCAGATTCCTGATACCGGTCGTAATTTCACACACCACATGGCTGAATTAAAATTTCAGAAGGCTAAATGACCTGGCTACGAAAAAGTAACCGCTGCTCAATTGAAGAACCTGGAGCCAAAGCCTGACATTTTTTACTAATTCATAAACATGGGCATCGGAAAAGCTACAGCGTCATGTTGGCAACCAGAACTCTTGAAAGACCTCATCAGAACTGTCACCGTAGACTCAGACTTCAGTCACTCCAGTCGTAATGCCTGGCAGGTCCCCCAGAACTCCTGGGGTGGCTCAAAGCCAACAGAGCGCAGAACGCCAACAACCGCAGTGAATGCCTCGGATTTCTCACGCTGCCATGCTGCTCAAGTAAGGGCAGTGGACAAGCCCGCCACATACATGCTGCCACGAAACCACTCCCCATCACCTTGAGCCAACGACCGTCAGCAAGAGATCTGATGGGGCCACGCAACCGTTGCTGAAAGTTAAAGCAGCCCTCGGGGCCACAAAGCCTACCAAGGCATCGAGGATATGATGGCCTGTGTGTCCTGAGTTGCTCAAGAACCTGTGACTGTATGGACAATAATGACTTGCAAATCCTTTTCACGGTCATACACAGGTAGCATGGAAGCAAGCCAAGTCATCGCCATTCTGAAACCCAGAAAGCCGCAAGACTCCAGCTGCAGGCCACTCTCATCCCTCTTGTCCTCCACCTCCAAGCTGCCGGAACGTGCCGTAGCCGACTCTTCCCCATTACCGACGCCCAACTGCCTCCCAACCGACTTCTGCAGTCTGATCATTGCCTGGTCTCCAGAGTCAACAGAAAACCGGCACAGCAACTGGTGACCTCTCTGCTGCCCATAACACCGTTTGGTGTCATGGCCTGCTGCAACTCTTCACCTACTCGATGCTCAGCAACTGCACTCTCAAGGTGCAGCTCACTGGTGAACACCGCCACAAGAGAACCATGAACAATAGCCTTCCTCAATGCTCAGTACCAGCACCGCCACTAAGTAACATTTATATAGATCAGTGACCTGCCATGCATATCATCAAGCAAATTGAGATGACAGTGAATGTGTAGCCAGGTGCGTGTGTTATGGTGTAGCTAGGTGAGTGAGTGTGCAGGCAGGTGAGTGAGTGACTGTGCATGCAGGTGAATGCGTTTGTAACGAGGCTAGTGAGTGAGTATTCTGGTAAGTGAATAAGTAGCTAGGCAAGTGAGTAAACCAGGTGGGTGAATGTGCGAGTATCCACGTGAGTTAGTAGGTGAGTGAGAGAGTGATTGAACAAGTAGACGAGTGAGTGAGAAGGTGAGTGCTCACCGGGGTAGGGCTCCTCCCCGTAGGTGAAGATCTCATGGAGCAGGATCCCGTAGGACCACACGTCCGACCTGCTCGTGAACTTGTTGTAGTTGATTGCCTCGGGTGCCGTCCACTTGATGGGGAAGCGAGAGCCAAGCTTGGCCGTATAGGTTTCGTCCTGAGCGACCACCAAACGACAAGTCCACAACACGGCCGTCAAAAAACAAAGATCCCCCATATATAGCCTGAACAGACTGTTGGGGAAAGTATTTTTAGCAAGCACCTATGAAGGCAAACACGGAACACGAGGGGGTGGGTAGCCAACACCATGCCCGGCCGCCTTTGTCTCCTTAGTGGCAATGTTTATACATTGCACCAAGTACTCATTTGAGGCTGAGTCGACCTAGGGGAGGCCCAGGACCGGTTGAGATAATAGTCACTGGTGTTGGCCGTGAGCGGGAATCGAACTCGTGTTGCCAGGTTCATAGCGCAGCACACTAACTGCTACACCACTGCTCCCCACACTCACACTTAACACAACTATCACAGCCTCGCCACCACACACTCACACGCAACACGACCATCATAGCCTGGCCACCACTCGCACACAACACGACCATCACTGCCTGGCCACCACACACTCACACACAACACGACCATCATAGCCCGGCCACAACTCACACACAACACGACCATCACTGCCTGGCCACCACACACTCACATACAACACGACCATCACGGCCCGGCCACCACACACTCACACAACACGACCATCACTGCCTGGCCACCACACACTCACATACAACACGACCATCACAGCCCGGCCACCACACACTCACACAACACGACCATCATAGCCTCGCCACCACACACTCACATACAACACGACCATCACAACCTGGCCACCACACACTCACACGCAACACGACCATCACAGCCCGGCCACAACACACTCACATACAACATGACCATCATAGCCCGGCCACCACTCACACACAACACGACCATCACTGCCTGACCACCACACACTCACACACAACGCGACCATCACTGCCTGGCCACCACACACTCACATACCACACGACCATCACAGCCCGGCCACCACACACTCACACAACACGACCATCATAGCCTCGCCACCACACACTCACATACAACACGACCATCACAACCTGGCCACCACACACTCACACGCAACACGACCATCACAGTCCGGCCACCACACACTCACATACAACATGACCATCATAGCCCGGCCACCACTCACACACAACACGACCATCACTGCCTGGCCACCACACACTCACACACAACGCGACCATCACTGCCTGGCCACCACACACTCACATACAACACGACCATCACAGCCGGCCACCACACACTCACACAACACGACCATCATAGCCTCGCCACCACACACTCACATACAACACGACCATCACAACCTGGCCACCACACACTCACACGCAACACGACCATCACAGCCCGGCCACCACACACTCACATACAACATGACCATCATAGCCCGGCCACCACTCACACACAACACGACCATCACTGCCTGGCCACCACACACTCACACACAACGCGACCATCACTGCCTGGCCACCACACACTCACATACAACACGACCATAACTGCCTGGCCACCACACACTCACGCAACACGACCATCATAGCCCGGCCACAACTCAGACATAACACGACCATCACTGCCTGGCCACCACACACTCACACACAACACGACCATCACTGCCTGGCCACCACACACTCACATGTTGGATATCGAGCCTTTTCCAAAATTAAGATTAACAATAATATTTGCCGTTATATATCATTTTTTTTAAGTGGCAAAAAAACCACACAGGAAACCAGATGCCCACCGTAATAGGGCCATTAAACCAGAAAATCCAGATGAGCAATAAACAGTAATAAACCAGTCAAGGGAAGAGGGTCGCCCCCTCCTCCCCCCCAGAATTATATAACACATGGCTTGACGAACACACACACACGAACGCACACACACACAGACCACGCCCCCCCCCCGCCCCTTCACTGCGCGGAGCGGAGAATTATTTTTGAATATAACGGCTGAGCATCTTTCAAAAGTTCAGTCAAGACAGTAAAGACAAATCAACGTTCAAGAAGTCGACAAGACACGAGCAGTCGCAGCTAACGGCTGGCTCCAAGGAGCGCGAGCCTCGCTGAGTAGCGAGGATCGCTGAGTCGCGATGTATCAACGAGCATAGTTCAGAGCCGAAAGGCAAAGTATCACTCGCAACTTTATTCTTACATCAAATGCCAGCCATCCAGCGGCGGAAAAGCAGAGCGTCCAGCGCCAACAAACAAAAGAGTCAACGAACCAGCGGCCAAGCGTTGTGCCGACTCAGCTACTACAGCAGTGAAGAAAGCCTGCTGCTGCCAACGAACAGAAAGAGCGTGCAGCAGCCATCCAGCAGCGGAAAAGCTTGGCCAGCCGCCAACAACCTCAGCATCTCCACAGAGAGAACGCGTGCAACGTGGCTCAACCAGCAGCGGAAAGAGCGCGGCCAGCACCTCCAAGCAACCGCCAAGCAAGCGCGTGCCGGCGCAGCTCATCCAGCAGTGGAGAGAACTGCTGTCAGCGAACCAGCACGGGCGCGTTTGCGCATCTTCAAGGAGAGGGAGCGCGCGCCATTCGCGCGCGCTCCTTCTCGCTACCATGCGCCACCAACGCTGAGAGCATTCGGGCAGCACCTGGAGAGGGCAGCGGGCCCGCACTCAACACCCATCATCGCGCGACGACGGCGAGCGTCTCGCCGACTCTTCCAGCCAGCGGTGTACAGAAACTGTCGCAGCCTGTACGTATGCCCCACCCCCTCCCCCACACTCTCCCCCTCACAACCCCACCGCTCCGCAACAAACAAACAAACCCATTTTTGGACACGAGATGCCAACCTCGGCGTCTGCTTTACGCAAAGAATTGAACCAGTGATAAAGAAGACACACGATACGCATATCGGGATAATCAAGAAGGGTTGCCACTCCAAGGTGGTTCATTAAAAATCAATTGATAACAAAAAATACTGCTGTCATTGAGTTGCATTATAATCAATCGTCTTACTAGTTAACAACGTGACAAGAACTGCATTAAGGGTCGCATATGATCAATGACCGAGTGCCGTGTTGTGTAACAATTCAAGTATACGAATTTGCCTAGGATAGAGTAAAGGTTTTGGTAGAATAGTTTATTCTTATTCTTAGTTCTTTCGGTAAAGTCACGTTGAAGGGAAACAATAAAATAATAAAATATATATATAAAACAATAAAAAAATTCTCACGACGTTTCGACCATAACACAAGCGGTCGTCATCAGGTGTGTCGGTTTGCATAAATTTATTTATTTTTAAACGGTGTATTTATTTATAAAAAAAAGCGTTAGCGCCACGCGCAGCGATTTGGCAGTTTATTTAGAAGGACTAGTCCATATATGTTCTGAAAAGAGGAGGGGGGAGACGAAAAATGTTAATGTATGCTGTCTGAAAGCCACTGTACGCGTGAACAATCAATTAAGACCTGAAATGGTTTATCAAATCTTTCCAATGATTGCTAAGCCAGAATCCATCTTCTCGGTTGAAAATGTCTCTGTGCTTGTATATGTGGATAGCCTCATGAACGAATCTCTCATGGTAGCCAGATGGCTTACAAAGAACCTCTGTCTTGGAAAAGTCAATGTCATGTGAGCCTACTGAATTATAACAATGATCTGCCACGGCCGAGGTGTTGGTCCTACCGTGTTTAAGGTCTGCTTTGTGTTCACGAATGTGGTCCGAGACATGGCGTTTGGTTTCTCCAATGTAACTACTACCACAGAGGCAACTTAGTTTGTAGACACGAGGGTATTGTATGTCCGGAATCACATATTTTACAGACGGAACCGGATCACGGATTGCATGTAAAGTGTTGAAACGGACCTGGATCTTGTGTTTATTCAAGATTTTGGAGATCTTTTTTGTGATCCCCGCAATGTAGGGTAAAGTAATGGTTTTGAAAGGCTCCTCAAGAGGGTCCTTCTTCATGGTTTGAGTGATAGCTTTGCGGATTGTATAGTCGGAGTAACCATTAGCCTTAAGAGCTTGGTGTACGTGCTTGAGTTCACTGCCTATGTGTTCCTGGTCGGATATGCATTGGGCTCTATGATACAGTCTTGATGAGAGAATTCTTCTGTGATGGATGGTGGTGGGAATCCAGTTTCAGATAAGCATCCGTATGGGTAGCTTTCCTGTAGACAGTGGCTCATTGACCCATCAGGTCTCTTTTTAATTAGGACATCCAAAAAAGGTAGCTTGCCATCTTTTTCGACTTCCATGGTAAATCTGATGGCTGGGTGTATGGAATTGATGTGGTCGAAGAATTGGTCTAGAGCAGGCCGGCCATGTGGCCAGATGACAAAAGTGTCATCCACGTACCTCTTCCATAAGGTTGGGCGCAGAGTGGCAGTCTGAATGGCGTCAGTCTCAAATTTCTCCATGAAAATGTTAGCTATAACCGGAGATAGGGGGGAGCCCATTGGGGTGCCCTCAGTTTGTTTGTAGAAAGTTCCATTCCAAGTGAAGTATGTATTGGTTAAACAGTGTCTCACCAGGGGGGGTACCTCAGTGTTTAGTCCTTGATGAACCAAGTCTTCAATGATTGCGATGGTGTTAGGTACAGGAACCTTGGTGAATAAGGAAACTACATCAAAACTGACAAGCAGATCGTCTGGGGACAGGGAAATACCCTTGATTGTCGATACCAGGTGAGTAGAAATTTGTACCGCAGAGGTGGTTTTTCTAGTGAAAGGACGCAGGATTTCAGACATGTAGACAATATAACTGCCTCTTCAGCTGCTACTATGTCGACCAAATGTAAGGACAACCTGATTTCCAAATTTAACCTCCTCTTCAACAAAAGACCGGACCCACACACCAAAAAGTTAGACGTTAACAAAGTCGTAATTAATCGCAGTAACAGTTCTATTTCCGATGGTCTGAAATCCGTTTTAGCTAAAGGTCTAAACTTTGCAGTCACACCTGCGGTTGAATCAGAAATTATTTTGTTGGTTTGTGTGACGAGGCTGTTGGTGGGATCTCTTTTATTTTTGTATAACTACCATCGTCGAGTAATTCTTTAATTTTGTTGTTGTATTCTATTTTATCCA